GCGCCGACGAATAAGCGCTGAAGCGCGCTGACAGAAGCGAGCTGTAACCCTAACCCTAACCCTAACCCTAAACCTAACCCTAATCCTAACCCTAAACCTAAACCTTACCTTAATTTAAATCGAGCTTCTGTCAGCGCGCTGTTGTCGGCGCGCTGTTGTTGGCGCGTTGATGACATCACGGTTATAGCACCGCGGTTTTAGCGCCACGGTTTTGTCAGCGCGCTTTTGTCGTTCGCGCATTTGTCGGGTCACGGATTGTACAAGGTGGGACGAGGCGCATGCATAAAAATCAAGCTAGGGTGGGGATGGGGGGTAGATCTGTCCCACATGCCCCGCATCCACTTACCTTAGGACCACCTCAGCCATGCCTCCCATGCCCAGACACCTGTAACACACCGGTGCCTGACTTTTGCAGCTGCTTGTGGCCGGATGCCATGCAACAAATCACGTCAAGTAACATCACCGGCATGATAAGCCACATGGCCTCCTTCCATGAGTGGCGGCACCAGTGTGACCGACCTGGCCGCAAGTGGCCACAAGCAGCCGCAAAAGAAGTCAGGCAGAAGTGCAACAGGGTGTTGGGGTGTGGGAGGCCTGGCTGCGATAGTCCTAAGGTAAGCGGGTAAGACTCCCCTGAAAATAAGTCCTGGTGCTTATTCCCCCCCCACACACACACAAAAAAATAAGTCCAGGTTTTATTTTCAGGGAAACATGGGTATTTTTGCTCTTACACAGACAGGCAGACACTTACTCAGCATCCATTGCTAGGCCACCAGGCACTAGCCAAAGGGATGGAAGCTAACAAGTCTGGGATCCAAAAACAACTCAAAGGCTGGGCAGGCTTCAGGATCTCTTTTTATCCCAGAGTGGGGAGGGGGATTCCCAAGGAGGCCCAAATTCCTTTGTTGGTGAGACCTGGGGAGAGGCCTGCCATGTGCTCAGGCCCAACGCTTGTCCTTTTGTTCCCTGAAGGACTTGATTCTTTTCCCTGAGGAAGGTTTCCTGGCTTTGGTCCATGCTGCTTCCATGCCTTCAGCACTTTTAAGCAGGGTGGCTTTGGCCTAGCCTCACACCTCCTGCTTGAATGGAAGCTGGCCCCTGTACGATGCTTATGATGGGGCGGTGTGTTTTGGTTCACATTTCGTTTTTATGATTTTATAGCTGCGCAATGTTATTTTGTTATTGTGGGTGAGTTTTTAAAAGGCCGCCTTATTGTCAATTGCAGAGTGCTGGGTTTGCAGTGGGTAGTACAGGTAGTCTTCGACTTATGACAGTTCATTTAGTAACCATCCAAAGCAGTGGTGGGTTGTGTGCATCTGTGCACAGATGCGCACCCACTGCCCTGTGACGCTCCAGCTGCTCAGCGGAGCGTCACACAGGCGCCGTACGCTGTGTGTGCGTACGCAAATGGCCCGGTTGGCTCAAATACAGGTAAGGAATGTGGGCGGGCCCGCCAAAGAACCATTCCAGTACAGTGGCTGCTGCTCCCAGCAGTCACCAATACGCCCGGACCCGGGCATACCGGCCGGAACCCACCACTGATCTGAAGTTACAACAACACTGAAAAAAATGACTTAGGGCCATTTTTTTCACGCTTGCAACCTTCGTAGGATCCCCATGATCAAAATTCAGATGCTTGGCAACTGCTTCATACTTATGACCGTTGCTGTGTCCCAGGGTCATGTGATCACCTTTTGACAAGCGAAGTCAATGGGGAAACCCAATTCACTTAACAATCGGGTTACTTACTTATCAGCTGCAGGGGTTCACTGAACAACTGGGGCAAGAAAGGTCGTAAAATGGGACCAAACTCACTTAACAAATGCCTCACTTACCACAGAAATGTTGGGCGCAATTGGGGTTGTAAGTCGAGGTCTACCCATAAATCCAATAAGTACAAGCAAAATAAATATAAAACACAGAGGAGTCACCCTATTTGGGAAAGCTAGGATATAACATCTTCCCTTCTTGTTTGTTTTGACTTTAGGTATTGAAGGCTTAGAACTGGATTTTCTCGTTCCAAGTTCTAACCGTTCCAGCAAGCTTCAGGTCTTGAAAACGTGGGAGCATCAGAACAATACTGGGGCTGAGGTAACTTAAGAACATAATAAAACATAAGTAAGGCTCTTATAGATTGACCCATCTTGGAACCAGGTTATCTGAGGGACTGTCTTTTGCCGGTCACATCTACCTGACCCACTAGAGTAGGGAGGCAAGGAATGTTGCAGGTCCCGTTCCCTAAGGAGATACAATTTGGCGGGACCCAGAAGAAGGGCCTTCTCCGTGGTGGCTCCCTTTCTCTGGAACATCATCCCTGTCAGCATATAAGAGTTCATGAATTGGAATAGACATGGTAACAGGTCAGCCAATGGGGACTGTTTGGTGACCCAGATGGCTCGGAGCCTGGGTGTGGCTTGGCTTGGCTGATTTGTATATACGAATTGCTTGGTCCTTGCAATATAGTCTCTGTATTATATTGCTTCTGGGAATATTGCTTCTATTGATTCTGTGCTTCTGGATTCCGAGTTCTGGTTCTGGCTTCTGCAGCATGGGTATTGTATACATGCATCATGCTTTATATTACTGCCTATAAAGAAGTTTCTTTTATACATGAATCCTACTAAATTATCTACTTGTGTGCTGGTTGGATTGCTGCAAACTCTTAACAATCCTCCCAAGAGATTGGGCTGGCCTCCGCTCTCACACTCTTTCAGAAGGCGCTAAAGACGTGACTCTGCCAGCGGGGCTGGGGAACCCAGAGTGGAATGGAACCCATTAAATGGGTGGTAAGAATGTGTATTGTTGCCGGAGTGGGGGTGGGGGGTTGTTATTTTTTCTTTTTTTTTCTTTTTACTTTTTTATATAGTGTTTTTTTTTTGTTAGCAGATTTTTTAAATTATTTTTTTCCCTTTTACAACACCTTACAGTCATTACATCAACATTGTTATGTCATCATACCTGTATATGCATATAATATTTCGCTTCTATATTTACACACCTTTATACGCAGTTCTATATATTTATATATATTGTTT